GTTGCCTTTTGTTCTCTTATTTCTGTATGTGTCTTTAGTTTTCTTGGTAGAGCACTCCTTTCTGAACTTCTTGAAGAGTAGGTCTGCTGTTGGCAAATTCTTTCAGCTCTTGTTTGTCTGAGAATGTTTTTATCCCTTCTTTCCATATAAAAGATATTCTTGCTGGGTATAGTATTCTTGGTTGAAACTGTTTTTCACAATGTATTTTCCCATTCTTTCCTTGCTCACATTGTTTCTGATGAGAGGTTAACCTGATTGGATAACCTTTGTAAGTAACCTGACATTTCTCTCTTGCCAAGTTTAGTATCTTGTCTTTGTCTGTAGATTTGGCTACTCTGGCTATGATGTGCCTTGGAGAAGGTCTTCTTGGGTTGAATCTATTAGGGGTGCTTTGTATTTCCTGAGTCAGGATATTTGAATGCCTCGCTAGACTTGGAAAGTTTTCTTCCAAGATTTCATGGAATAGATTATCAGTCCCCCCCCCCTAGTTTCCTCGCCTTCTGAGATACTTATTATCTGGAAGTTTGGACACTTAATGCTGTCTAGTATTTCTGATAAGGTATTCTCATTTTGGGGGGTAATTTTCACAGTATTGTTTTCTAGATCAGAGGTTTTGCCGTGCTATAGAGATTTACAACATCCGAGATTTGATTTTCTGCATGGACTAATCTGCCTTTAACACATTTGAGGGAGATTTTGATTTCCTGAATGGCAGCCTTCATCTCTAATTTTTTTATGGTGTGTATTTCCTCTTTCAGATCATGGAAGAACTTCAACACCTTCTGGAACTCGTCTCTTTTCTCCTGCATCTTCTGGAATTTATTATCTCTCAGCTCTTGCACCTCGTTTAGTTTTGTCACTATGAATATTCTGAATTCTCTATCAGACATTTCCATGAATTCTACTGTACTGTCCTGTAGATGATGTGAGATTGTTCTTTTCTCTTAGGGGAGAGAGATTTTCTTGATTTCTCATGTTTCTGTGCCTCTGCAGTTGTTTCTGGTCATTCTGTGACAAAATCTATCCTCCACTGTGCTTCACAATGTGGTATCCACAGAAAGATTAGGAGTTCAGATTTATAAAAAGATATTTCTTCATTAAAGCAGGAGGTTCAATAAGTGGTGAGGATTTCAATAACTAAAAGTATTCAGATGCTTGGCTACTGTGCACCTATGCCTATCTAGACATTCAGTGTGTGGAGAGTGAAGCTTAAAGTGGAAAAGTAAGGTTAAAGAAAATAAACAAAAAGGGAAAAAAAACTAGAAAAATACTACAAAAAAAAACAAAGAGGAAAAAATTATTTTTTACAAGTAAAAAATGAAAACTGTGTGGTGCACAGGCACTCCACACGAACACACCAGGACACACCTCAGCTTTAAAATGGCTTCTCTAATTAGCAAGTGAAAGAAAAGGCCCAAGGTAAGGAACAGTGGTTGAAATTTTTTTAAAAAAAATTAAAAATTTAAAGAGAGAGAGAGTGCGAGACAGACAGAGAGATAGACAGCCAGAGACAGAGAAAAGACGGAAGTTGCCCTACCTTGTCTGAATATTTCGAGAGTCTAGAAGATATAGTTTAGAGCATAGCTTCCCTGAACACGCCAGGACACACCTCAGCTTCAAAAATCAATTTTAATTTTAATTCCTCATTTAGTTTTATAATCTGGAGAAATCA